AGCAAGGACGAAGAATGTGAAGGAAGGGGAAGTAAGCAGCGAGGGTGACGAAGGTGAAGGTGCCGACAGCTATAGCCGAGGTGAAGAGTTGACCGGGCGTTGACCAGAGCGTTGACCAGAGGGTTGACCAAGGGTTGACCGGAGGGTTGACCAGACGTTGACCGAGGGGTTGACTGAGCGTTGACCAAGAGTTGTCCGCGTTGACTCAGCGTTGACCAAGGCGTTGACCGGAGCTCCTGACCAAGATTTTGACCAAGCTGGAGTTGGTGATATCTCGTTGAGCCCTCAGCTTATCCCGTTACCCTGTGGATGTGCACACACCCTACGGTACTTGCTGAATTGAGTCTGTCTGTCTTTCCTTTCTGCATTGAGTCTCTTCTGTCCTAGGTGTTAGGACTCTGTGGATGAAGGATAGGGCCTTGCTGCCAAACCTGCACGGGACTTAGTAGGACTAATCTCTAGATTCTCTACTCTTGCATCTGGAGACCTGGGCATGAGCGGCGAGCGCTCGTTAAACAACTCATCTAGCCCAATGACCGGTACTGTCCGACAGGTCTATTCAGTTTCAGTGTAGAGGGTCCGAACTCCGAGCTGTGGGCTGAAACGAAGGCCGTCTTTAAGTGTTGAGGCCTGGTTGAACCACTCATCTACCGGACGTAGTAAGGCTGATGATCTGTGTCTGTCGACTCGATTGTCCCGAGGGATACGAACCCCTCCAAGGACCGGTACAAACCGGCGGATTGCTCGGTGTGGCACAGTAGGCCGGAACGGCTGAGTTGTGGGCTGAAATCGCCAGGAAGAACCAAGCTGATCACGTCGTCCTGTCTGGGACGTTAAAGAATTCTTGCGGAGTTTGGGGGATCTCCTTAAATGCCTCCTGATCAGCTGTTAGTTCAGTAGTGACAGCCTTAGAGTAGTCTTGGGTAGTGACCATAGCTGACAGGTACTTACCCTGTAGTCCTTAGAAAGTTAGTCAATAGGTCAGTGTGTCCGGGTAGGTCTAAGCGGTGAGGAGTGGGACCTTGTCGTGCACCTACCACCACGATGGATGACTATCCGATGTATGGGTTGCTTGTTGGGTTCTCCCTTTGGGGGGCCCTTTGGCGTTTCATGTTCCCGTTGGGGTTCTGGAACACCTTCGCGTGTAGGGTAGAGACGAAGGGTGGTACGACCACACACCCCTATACGCCTGAAGAGGAGGCCAAGGCCGCCGCCATCCTGAAAGAGAAAAGGGAGAAGAGGGAGGCCAAAAAGAAGGCCGTGCAGAAGGAGCAGGCGACCAAGTTGAAAAAAATTGAAGAGGAGATGGCCAGAGAAAATGAGAGAATAAAGAAAGAAGAAGAGCGAAAATTGAAGGAGGTACAAGAGGAAGAGGAAGAAGATGAAACACCACTGCAACGGAAGAGAGGGCAGTACAGTGGCAGTAGAGACGAGGAGATGGAGAAACGGATTTCGGAATGGGTCGCCAACTTATCCCTGGGCGAAGAAGAAGAGGTGGCGATGTATATCTCCAAGGATGACCAGGAAGCCGCTATGAGAGTCTGGGAAGCAGAAAAAGATGTCGTAAAGCGGAAGGCGTTGGAAGACGAAAAGAGGATGGAGTGGAAATTGGCCGTGATGAGGGAGAAGAAGAGGAGAGTAGATGCGGCAGCGGAGGCGGCAAAAGAATTGGAGGAGGTACAGAAGATAGAAGAGCAGTTAGCCGCCCAGACCGAACTCCCAAACCAAATGCGAGTCATAGCCCGAAACGTTGCACGCCTGACACGAATTCAGGCGGAGCAATATGACTTTAGTAGGAGTCAACACATAGTTGTGCGTTCAATAAAGTTGGGATTCCAGGACTTTGCTGGTGAGTTGGTAGGTGCTATAGGCACCGAGGTGGGTCATCGCCTCGAGAAGACTGAGCGGTCCTGTGTCGGCGCCATTGAAGGCGTTTTTAGCAGCAACTCCCAAGGAGGAGGAAGCACGTCCTCCTCGCCGGGAGCCGGTCAAAGTCAATTTCTCAGATTCCTACAGTGGAAAACGGGAAGAAAACTTTGACAATTGGGAGGCCAATGTCAAGACCTATGTGCATTTGCAACAGGTCTCCCCGGATCAGCAGGTCCTAATTGCGATCCACGCGCTTAGAGATGAGGCCGCCAGCTTTGCAAGGTCCCTAGTTCGCGCTGCCAACTGTAGTGATGATCCAGTTGCGTACTCCTCGTTCACGTCCCTCACTGAATTCTTGAAGCTGCTGCGCGAGCGATTTGCTGATGTCACTCGCAGTGTTAAGGCCTCAGACAAGCTCCAGACGATCCATGCCCGTAAGTGGAAGCACAATGGACAAATTGGTACCTGTTCCTGACCATGGGGTTACAGACACCCAGTTGGTCGCCCTCTTCTATAGAGCGATGCCCGAAGCTTTTCGCGGGCACTTCTTCGCGAAGAGCGAAGACCCTGCCACCACTTACGATTCCCTTAGCCGTGAAGTGGTGGCCTTTGAGGCAAAATCTGTGTCAGTTTCCACCTTCTGGCACAAAGATTTGGATAAGGGGAAACAATGGAAGGGCCGCACTATCTCTGGGCAGGTGAAGACTAAGGATAGCCTTGTCCTAACTTTAGATGAGGGTAGTGTGGATGAGATCCCTTACGATCCGATTGAGTGGGGGTTAGAGGAGGAGGACAGCGGTGTGGGCTAGCGGGGAACTTACGCTGCTGTCGCGGCTGGAGGGAGGCCGCAAGGAGGACGAGGCCAGGGCCGAGGGGGCCGGGCCTCAGGGAGCCGGTTTCAGGGTGATCAGGGGGTTGTCGGCAGAGGACGAAACCGCCAAGCGGGAGGCAGGGGTCAAGGTCCCCCGCAAAACCGTCCTAGGAATAGGTCTCCCTATAGGGTAGGAGGATGGCACCAGGGGCTGCCGCAGGGTAAGCCTTAGGAAACGTTGGGTCTGGACCAGACTTTATGGCAACAACGATTGGACCGGGGCCAATGCATTTTCTGCGGTGACCCGGGCCACATCATCAAATACTGTCCTAAGTATCGAGAGACCCGAACAGCTGCTCAAGGGCCAAAAGGCAACCGCCGGTAGGGGTAGCAACTGCCCCTACCATTAGGCCATGTGGGGAACACAGCGCTAGCCGGCAGGAGACTCCCACACCACATGTGCCTATGGCAAAGGTTGCAGGCCGGTGTCTAGATGGCTGTCCAGAGATTGCTTGTGTTAGAGTCTCTCTAGACACCTCCCTCACAGGCGTGGCCGAAGAGTTGAAGGAGAGGATGCCCGCCTGGGCCAAGATGAGAAAGGAGAAAAAAGGGCAGCTTATATTAGTAGATACAGAGATTTTTAGAGGCAGAGTAACAAGACTTCTACGCGTGCTCCGCTAGGTCTTCTCAGACCCTTGCCCATTCTGGACCAGCCGGGAGACTCAGTATCCATAGACTTCATGGACACTCAGGTCAAGAGCACGCATGGCAAGAGCCAAGTCATGGTCATAGTTGACCGTTTTAGTAAGTACGCAGTTTTTGTTCCTTTGCCTTCAGAAGCACGTACTGATTTAGTCATACAAAGGTTTTTTGACTGTTGGGTGAGTGAGAATGGACTCCCACTGTCTATAGTTACTAGTTAGCGATAGAGATAGTCGCTTTACTAGCCAGAACTGGCAAGAACTCATGGGAGTATATGGATCTACGTTGTTGATGTCGTCCGACCGCCATCCAGAGACTAACGGTCAGTCCGAGCAAATGAACAAGATCCTACAGCAAGTTCTGCGCATGTACATTAGTCCAGATCAGATTAACTGGGATGAGATGCTGCCTAAAGTAGCTAGTGCGTACAATAACAGCGTGCATCTGTCTACTTGCCGCACTCCCAACGAACTGCACAAGTCCTTTAGGCCCCGTAGACCCTATGAAGGACTCGAACGGGATCAGATTCACAGATTGCCGCCCGGGACCAGGGAGTTTGTTGTACAGCACGAGAAAGAACTAGCTACTGTTGTAGAGAACCTCAGGAAGGCCCAGCATAGGATGATAGAACAAACGAACAAGCATCGTCGCCCTTCACAGTTTCAAGTAGGCGACTTAGTCAGGGTCAGTTCTAAGGAGTTTGCACCTGAGGAGAACATCTCGCAGAAGTTACTACCCACATATAGAGGACCGTGGCCTGTTCTAGAAGTCAAGGGCGGCGAAGATGGACCGTCCTATACCATAGAACTCCCAGCACACCTCCACACTTACCCAGTTTTCCATGCATCGAAGTTACTGCCTTGTCAAACAAGTGATCAGTTTCCATCCCGTAGGTCGATGATCCCACCGGATATGGATGGAAGATATGACATCGATGGTATAGTGGCTGACGATGTCTTCAGAACTGGAGGCAGGGGTCGTCCGCAGAAACAGTACAAGGTTCATTTTAGTTATCAAGACGACTGCTGGTTTACGAGATCTGATTAGTTATCGAGAACCGGAAGACGACCGCTGGTTTACGAGATCTGAACTTCTAGAGACAGCTCCCGATATAGTCCGGGCCTACGAAAGACAACAAAGAGGTAAAGGTCCTGCCTTGGACTGAAATTTTCTCGGAGGACCTCGAATTTAGGCCGGCGGGAGTGAAACGGTATTCACCAGTTCACAGTAGCTTATGCAGATCCCAGGGCTCGATCCCTAGTTCCCCACCTTACCTGTGTACAGTACCGGCGTCAACCCGTAGATTTGAACCTGCTACCTGTAGTACCGCCAGTGGTAGGTAGTTTTCCGTAGGTCACAGGGTAAAAGGTATTCGAACTGTAGACCTGTAGGGTAGGAGTCTAGACAGTTAGAGGTCGTAGCTGTAGACTGCCTGAAGGGTCAAGGTCGTAGCTGCTACTTACCTGAAAGGGCAAGGTCGTAGCTGCTACAGTACCKAAAGGCCAAGTTAGAGGTTTCTAGAAGTGGCCTTTCGGAGTGAGTCTGCGTTCAGCAGAGGCAAGTGGTCAAGTGGTGGTAGTCCACCTAGTACAGTCAGCAGTCCCAGTCCACCCAGTCCGGTCCAGTCCAGCAAGTACCGTCTGGGACTGTGTGCACGATGGGCCAGGGGTACAGGGCAGACCAACGCAGCACAGAAGTATAAATCAAGAGGCTGCGCCCAGCCATTCATTCATTCCTGCGGAAGCCATGCGGAAGTGCTGCCTCAGCAGCTTGTGCGAGGAGGTCTGCAGAAGGCCCGAAGATGAAGTGGGCGAGAGTGACATACTGTAGCCATAGCAGGAGGGTAGCGGCGGCCATAGTCGCCATAGCTGTAGCTTAGGGGAAGTGTGTGTGTACTGCGTGTGTGTGCTGAGTATCGCGTGTGGGATATCCAGGGTGATCCAGAGTGTGAACAGTGAGTGTTTGAGGCGCACGGTCGCCATAGCCAGAGGAAGAGAACTGTTGCCTGGAAGCCATATCTCTGAATGCTGTGTGGGCGCATGTCGCCAGTTTGTTGTTCTGCTGTTCACGTGCATGAAAAGTGTGAATAAGTCCAGTCTGATTGCAAATGCACGAAGATACCGTCCAAATAAGAGCAATATGATGAACTCAAATGTCAATGTCGCCACTCTCTGGTCACACCAACACTGTATCCAATGCCGCACTTACTGTCTGGCGCCCAGCGCGTAGCCTACCCTACTAGTAAGCCTATGTAGCCTATCTACGTTCCAGCCAGTGGATCACTCTGAAGTCAAAGACCAATGTACGTGACTACAACACCAATGCTGATCACCAGCATACTCTCCTCCCCTCATCACCCCTCGTCTTCCCACAGCATGAGCCTCCTACCCGAAGACCACCTTCGCCATCACCAGCCCTGCGCCCCAGCTGCCCGGCTATGGCTGCTGTGCACCCGCTCCCCTTGCATCGCCCCTCACCTCTGTGCCCGTGCGCGCGTCCAACCAGCAGGCCCGTGCAGATGCTAGCGCAGTAATGGAGCAGCGTGTCCGCATTGCCTGCCAAGGCCAGAATGCCACTGGCAGGGGCTTATGGAAAGTGTGTCGCTGCTGGCTGTCCTGGCCACGTGTGTGGGGCTGGGGGCAGTAGCTTCAGTTGGGCCCCAAGTGTGTGCGCCCAGGCCCAGTTTTAAACTGGACTGGGCCTCGAGGCACGTTCAGGCCGCCACCCAGCCTCCAAGTGTTTGCAGCATTCTCATTGGCTCGGGGCACATGTGTGACAACAGTGCTGCCTAATTGGCCCGTAACCAGTCCGTCATTTGTCCCCTCACACAGCGGGTGCCCAGGGCGCAACCTCCTCAGCCCCTGGGCTCAACTGTACAGTGCAGCCCCTTTGCATTTGGGAAGAGCCTGGAGGCTCACGTTGTGCTGTAACCAACTGGGCTGCTGCAACAGTCTGAGTACCCACATATGGAAAAATTGTCGAGAACAGGCCTCACGTGGATATTCAGGCCCGCCTTCATTTAGGGCGGGCACGAGGCTTGCTGGGGGCCACAGCCCACAACGCTTGTATGTCTGATAAGGGCTCTGCGAGTCTCATTTCTGGCAGTACTTTTTTATTAAAAAAAAAAGAAAACGAAAAAAGAAGTATTTTCAATAAAAAAAAGGGCAAGTTTATTACCCATTTTTCTGTGATTGTTGGTGGGATAAACATGTTGCACTTTTTTTTTTCTTGGATGGGCAGATGCAAAGACAAAAGGAAAGAAAGATTAAAAAAAGCCAAAAATATTTTCTTGTTTTTCCCTTTTTTTTGGTTTGTTTTTGACACACACTCACGTTGATTGACTGACTGATTGATGGATTGATTGATTGATACAAGAAAAAGAAAAAGAAAAAGCTTGCGAACGCGCCCAGCCTTGTGTGTGTGTGTGTGTGTGTGTGTGTGTGTGTGTGCGCCTGTCTTTGTCTGTGTGTGTGGGGGGGAGTATGGGTGTGCGCGTGTATGTGTGTGTTGTGTGTGTGTGTGCGTGTGTTCTGTGTGTGGGACCCTGCCCCAGGTCTGTACTTCAACAGTCCCCCGCTTGAGATATCATCATCAAACCTACGAGCCCTAGGTAATTCAGAATTCTTGTATTTCAGTCATCTGCTTCCAGTGGAGTTCGAACTGAGCTCGGCCAGTTGGCATGCATTTCAACAGTTCATGGGTGCACCAGCTGAGCTGGGGCTAACCGGTCAGATGGAGCACCTCCGAGCATTTGGATTGGATGACGGGAAATCTTCCTACTACAGATGAGCGAGCACGCGCTCGGACTTGCCGGAGCGGAAAGCCCACCCCCTCCTCCCCCCCCCTCCGGATGAAAGTAGAATTTTTGTTTCTTTTTTCCTCCCTGCCACGAAGCCAGGGTGAATCAATACTGGGTTACCACGGGCCTCAGAGTTTTGTGCTTCGACAATGGAAATTCTCTACCTTTTCCCGAAAAACAAAACAAAACGAAAGGCCCTAGGTACACCACTGGCTATCCAGCGAGATTTTGAATGCATTCGGACATGTAATCCGTCAATACGCATTCGAAGTCTCGGCGGGGAACGAGTGGCGCAACTACGCCTGAATACTGTCCATGCTGGCGGATGGCGAGTGGTGCAGCTACCGGTAGGTCCCTAGCCTGAGGAAGACAAATAGCCCCAAAGTCCCTAACAGCGGGCAGCGTGGAACAGAATGCGGGGGCCCCCAACTCCGCCATCATTGCCATACTTGGAAGGGTTATATGTACACCGGGAAGGGCTTTGTTACCATCGGAGGTTCGACTTCGTTGTCTGGCTAGCAAGCGGCATCGGCGATCGACTGAGCCTGCCTCTCTCTCTCTCTCTCTCAATCCCCCTCTTCTCTAGAGAGAACGTAGTACGCTCGTCGAGTCCACCAGCCGTCGACCACCATGGCCGCCATCGCCGCCGTTGCTGCCGTCGCCCCGAGCACATTCGCCGGCCAGACCACTCTCAAGGAGCAGAGCGAGCTGAGCCGCCATGTCGGCCAGTCGGAGTCTCGCGTTGTCATGAGGAGGACCGTCAAGTCCAGCGACAGCCTATGGTACGCGTCTCTCTCTCTCTCTCTCTCTCTCTCTCTCTCTCTCTCTCTCTCTCTCTCTCTCTCTCTCTCTCTCTCTCTCTCT